ACATGTACCTAGGTCCGGTGAAAAGTTTTGTTTGGCGTGCAGTATAGACAGATCATACCGTACTAAGTGCATTAGGGGAATAGAACAGAGTGAGGAATACAATGTTATGGTTGCAGAGATGGTGTGCAGAGAGTGAGATCAATGTTAAATTTAAAATTTGAATTCTCGAGTAGATGTTACAGATCCCATTATTTGAAGACATGCAGTGAATTCTTCCAATTTGGCAGACACCAGCTAAATGGATTTAAATTGTCACTTATCCCACTTGCCAAAGTTGAAACCTTCCAGTTGCCAAATTGGCTGCTCCAAAATAGCAAGTACATTTCCAATTTAATTAATTGGTAATGAAATACTCTGGGGCATCCTGAGGATATGAAAGATGTGGATATAAAAGTTTATCTTTCTTTTTCAGTGTTTCTCTGCCAGTTTGCCAGAGGCGTTGTACTTGGATCAAACACCTCTCTCTCTCTGTTTGCTTAGTGTCTCAAAGTGTGGTTTCCCGTTCTGTCTGCAACTCCCTCCCGTATGTGATGTTACACAGATCTGCTGGTGTTACACACTCGGGTGGATGAATTGCTTTCATGTGTGATTCATAATGTTACATGAAGCCAGAAGATTAGGAATGGGAGGGGCTGTTGGGGGAATGGGGCAGGGAGAGGAAGAAGGGTGTCGGCATGGCCTCAAGTGAATGTGGGAGAAAGGCTTGCGCTGGTTCCTCTTTCTGATCTAACTGTGGAACGTGACCTGGTCGACGTCAGTCTCCGAAATGAGTAATGTCTGTTTGTGAGCTGAGAAATTGAGGGCTGGATCCCCTAATAAAGAGGCAGAGAGATTTTGCAAAAGAATTCTAAAATTTAGAGGCTAAGCAGATAAAGACAGGGTTACCAAGGGTGCAGGCAATAGAAATTAGCAATGCATTGGAGGCCAGAGGGGCTTTGGTTATAAAGGAACATGGCAGCAGGAATAGGTCATTCAGCTTTTCCAGCCTGATCTTCCATTCTAGATATTGGTTAATCATCTACCTGAACGCCACATTCTCACACTATCCTCATGCCTTGATGTCAATAGTAACTAAAAATCTATCAATCTCTGTCTTGAAATTCATGGCAGAGCTTACACAGCCTTCCAGAGTAGAGAATTCTCTGTTAATACTTGTAGTGATAATTATAAGATTTACTATAATGAAACAGCCTTTTGGATTATGAGTAGTACGAACTTGTAAATGTATTCCTTTTCTTTCCTTCCCTTAAATGTTAATGGAGGTAAATTCTGATCAATTTGTGACAATGCTTAGCTTCCACTGAGCTCTTGAGCCACAGCCCTAGTAATAAGCAAAAGTGATGGGGAGAAAACATTTTCATGCAAGTGGTTCGGGTCTGCAACGCTCTGCCTGAAAGTGTGGTTCATTCAATGCTGAAAGAAGAATTGGGTTCTTCTGAAAAAAAAAGTGCAGGTTTGGGGAGTAGACAAGAGAATGTGTCTCCAAGTGAGTGCCTCAATTAGTGCCAAGCTATCAAATGGCCTCCTTGTGTTCCCTAATGATTGTGATCGCAGTCAGTAGGCTTGACAGTACTTCAGGGCTGCGGGAGCCAAGAGTATTCCTGATGATTGTAATTAAGTCCTCATCAATCATACGCATTGGGTGCCATGACGTAATGCTTCGCTTGCTAACTTGCAAAGACTAAGGGTGATTTAGAGGGCATTCAAGGATTTTGACCAGCAGCAGTGAAGGAATGGCAACATATTTCCAAGTCAAGACGGTGAGTGACTTGGAGGGGAAATTACAGATGGTGGTGTACCCATGTATCTGCTGCCCTTGTCCTTCTAGATGGAAGAGGTTGTGGGTTTGGAAGGCACTGTCTAAGGAGCTTTGGTGTATTTCTGCAATGCATCTTGTAGATAGCAGGTATGCACTGAGTGGTGGTGGAGGTAGTGTCAATCAAGCGGGCTGCTTTGTCCTGGATGGTGTTGAGCCTCTTGAGTGTTAGAGCTGCACTCATCCAGGCAAGTAGGAAGTATTCCATCACACTCCTGAGTTGTGCCTTGTAGATGATTGACAGGCTTTGGGGAGTTAGGTGTTGAGTTGCTCGCTGCAGGATTCCCCATTTCTGACCTGTTCTTGTGGCTTCAGTATTTATGTGGCCAGTTGAACACAATACTTCCTTCATACTCTCTCAACCTAGATTTTTTCTGAATCTCAAAAGTGGGACTTGAGTCTACAACCTTCTGCCTCCAAAGTGAGGGTATGCCTATAGTTGCATGTGGACCCTAAATTCACGAAGGGCTGGAAAATCATTTCTGTGCAGATCTGCCTCGCACAGGGAACTCTCGGTTTTGATCTTTATGCCCTGTTGTGTGTTGCAGGTACGTGTGTGGAGGTTCCTGAAAGGCCGCGAGACAGTGAAGAACGAGATTCTCCTGGATGGCGGGAATAAAGTGATGATCTGTGGCTTTGGCGATCCCTCAATCTGTGACAACCAAGTTTCCACGGGCGACACCCGGATATTCTTTGTCAACGTGGCACCGAAATCGATGTGGCCAGCTCACAAAAACGAGCTGATGCTCAGCTCCAGCCTCATGAGGATTACCCTTCGAAACCTGGAGGAGGTGGAAAATTGCGTGGAAGGTTTGGACTTTGTCTTTGTCCTTTTTTTTTCCTTTTGTGTTAGTTTGCTCAGCTTTATTTCCCTTTCTTCCCCTATGCCCACTCCCAATTCTGTCCTGGGCCTCTGATGCTCAGTCGTTCCTGTAGACTAAGCATGAGCATGGGAGGTTCTGTGTCAGCTGAACCGACATGTGTTATGGCTGATGTTAAAAGTAATGCCAGTCAGAAATCTTGAAGCTGACTGTTGGCAAACGGGTCCAACGTGGAAGAGATTGAAGCCGCGTCTGAATGTATCTTCGTCTTACATCCCCACACTTGTTTTTCAAAAAATTAGGTAGGAATCTTGAGGAAATGTTGAAAACATTATATATTTCCCCTATAGTGTACAGGTGCTGGAACCAAATGTTGCTCCTAATCCTGCATGTGAAGTACTTACATCATCCCCAAAAGATACAGGAAGGCTGTATCTAACTTGCATTTTAAGTGAGTCACCGTTTTATGGTAGGTAAATGCTGCAGCCAATTTGCACACAGCAAGGTCTCACGTGTAAGTATATACTGTGCTGCCAATTAGTATGTTTTGGTCATTATTTGAGAGAGGAATGTTGGCTGGGGCAACTTTACAAAGAAGCATGGGATCTTTCACCTGAACAGCTGGAAGAGAGGCTACTTAAATGCTTTATCTAAAGAGTGATGCTTCTGATAATGTAGCACTACCTGAGGTTTGTACATTTACATATGTCCTCAAGTGGGATTAAAAGATGAGTGTAAGGCAAGAATGCTAACTGAACTAGGCTGCAAACAGTGATAATTATCCTTAGTGCCTTCATTGAGGAAGGGGGAGATCTGTTGGATATCGTAATGCTGGTTGCTATCTGGTGACACTGTGCTGGAAATCTTACTCGTGTGGATGTCCGGCTAGGACTGTACTGGGCTTGTCTCTTATTCCTTCATCTGCGGTGTCCATGGCCACTCCTGCAATTAGATTCACATGTGCAAAATGACCACGCTGTTGTCAAGTAAGAGTTTCCAGCAGAGAGATACTGGAGTTACGGGAGCACCGGTAAAGAAAGAGGACCAGAAGTGGATTGGGGAGGGATAGAAGAGAAATAAAGACACAAATGAGTCACACAGCAAAGAAACAGACCCTTTGGTCCACCAAATCTATGCCAACCCACAAACACCAAACTACACTAATCCCATTTACCTGCACTTGATCCACAGCTGACTATGCCCTGGCATTTTAAGTGCTCATCCAGGTGCTGCTTAAATGCGTTGAGAGTACCTGTCTCCAGCACCATCTCAGGCAGCGCATTCTACCACTGTACCACTCTGCTTGGGAGAATCAAACACAGTCTATCTGCTTTCTCCTCATAACTGCGACTTTTCATCGGGCAGCATCCTGGTGAATCTCCTCTGCATCCTCTCCAGTGCAATCACATTCTACCGATAATGTGGCAACCAGAACTGACATAGTATTCCATCCACTGTGGCCTAATCAATGTTTTATAAAGTTGTAACATGGCTTACTTGCTCCTATAATCTACACCCTAGCTAATGAACACAAGCATCCTGTCTACCTGTGCTGACATTTTCAAAGCTCTGTGGATTGGTACACCAGGGTACCTTTGTTCCTCAGTACTCCCTAAGGACCAACTATGCATTGTGTAAATCCTTCCCTTATTAGAGTCCCAAATTGCATCACCTCACACTAATCAGGATTAAATTCCATCTGCCATTGTTCTGCCCAATTTACTTGCTGATTAATACCACACTATACCCAGAGACCATGCTCCTCAGTACGAACAACACCAATTTTCGTGTCATCTGCAAACTCACTAACGGAACCTTCTACTTTGACATCCAAGTCATTAATGTACATAAACAGCAAGAATCCCAGCACTGAACTCTGCAGTACACTGCTGGTCATAGGCTTCCAATTACAAAAGCAACGCTCTACCATCACCTTTTGCCTCTTTTTGTAAACCAGTACCCATGGGGTACCTGATCAATAGCCTTACTGAAGTCCATGTAAACCTCATCAACTGCACTACCTTCACCAATATAGTTAGTCACTGTTTTCCAAAAGACTCAATTAAATTAGTCAGGCATGATCTCCCTGAAACAGATCCGTGCTGACTGTCCCTGATCAACTCTCCCTTTCCAAGTGTTGATTAATTCTAACCTTCAGAATTTTTTCTAATAATTTCCCTACCACAGACCTCCAGACTAACTGGTCTGTAACTACCTAGCCAATCCCTGCTACTCTTCCTGAACAAACGAGCCACATAAGCTACTTTCCCATCATCTCCCGCTTCTCCTGTAGCCAGCATGCAGTGAAGTATCTCCACCGCCAATATCCTTCCTTGCATCCCATAGCCCTTAGGGATTTAGGCACCTTTTATGCCCATTAAACCATCGAGTACTTTCTCATTAATTTTAACATGTTCTAGACCCTCACAATCCCAACTGAAATCTCCAGCTACAATGTCTTAATCCTTTTTGAATACAACCAAAAAAAATTCATTTAAGACCTCACCCCGATCCTCAGAATCCAAGCACAGACTGCCCCTTTGGTCTCTAATAGGCTCCAATCTTTCCCTGATAATCCCCTTGCTCTTAATATACTTAAACTGCCTTAGGGTTTTCCGTAATCCCATCTGCCAAAGATATTTTGTGGCGCCTCTGCCCTCAAATTTTTTTTAAGCATTTCTCTACATCCTCTATACTTCTGAAAGGCCTCCCCTGTTTAAGCTGTACCTGACATATGCTTCCTTCTTTTTCTTTATCCCTTGACATCCAGAGTTTCCTGGACTTTTTACCTTTGCCCTTCACTCCTAGAGGGACATGCTGGCCCTCTGAATTCTCACTATAATACTTTCAAAAGGTTCCCACTTTCTAAATGTAGTCTTACCTGTAAGTAGCTGCTCCCAGTTTGTTTGCCAGATCCTGTCTAATGATAGTGAAATTTGCGCCCCCAGCCCCTCAATTTAAGACCATAAAATATAGGAGCAGAATTAGGCTATTTGGCCCATCAAGTCTTCTCCACTATTCGATCATGGCTGATATATTTTTCAATCCCATTTTCCTGCCTTCTGCCTGTAATCCTTGATCCTCTTACTATCAAGAACCTGTCTCTGTCTCAAAAACACGCAATGACTTGACCTCCTGCAGGAATGAGTTCCACAAGTCACCACCCTCTGGCTGAAGAAATTACTCCTCTGCAAAGTGATAAAGGGTCATCCCTTCACTCTGAGGCTGTGCCCTCAGGTCCTACTCTTGATTTCTTTATTCCCCCATTCCCGCTCCAAACCACGGGCAGGTGAGCATGAACTGTAGCCTTTGGGATCCGAGAACAGCAGATTCAATGTCCTCATTGTCTCCAATGTCAGAGTCATTTTTAGTTCTTCTGCTCCCTAACTGGTGAAGTCTGAGCTATTTTCTATGTTGTGTGAATGGGAGATTGTACGGAGCTATTGCAGCAGGTATTAATTGGAAAATCACTCCTAAACGCACACCATCCAGTTATGCAGCAGTTATATAGCTGTGTCATTTCATGTGACTTCCCGTTATCGGAGAAGGGGTTGGAATTTTCTTGCAAACTCTGTGCGTTCCTTTTCTGGAAGAAACTGAACTTGCATATCCCACTCTCATCAAATGAGATCACCCAAACACTAATTAGAGTATGGGCCCAAGATTTAATTCTTCAAACTCCTTGAAGTCCTTGCTTTTTGAGCATAGCTTAATGAAGCTGAAACATTTCAAGGGAATAAGATTATTTGTGTCAGCGCAGGACATGCGTTATGATCAGTAAACACTTCACAGACGTTTCTTGACGTGTTTCTCATTATGTGACTCAGATTTTATTACAGAGCATTGATTTCTTGTTTGATGAAGCTGTAAAGTTGGGGAAAAGATTGCAAGTATTATCAAAGTGACCACTATTACGGCAGGAGAAAGCTAATCTATGTTTGCAGTATTTGCCATCTGGTGTGTGTCCTATTTTTAGCCCTGTCATTTCTGTTTAAATTCCCACTGTACGTGTAGCCATGTCGTTAAACTAATTGTTAAGCAACGCCCATTATAAAATTTTTAGCTTGAAAAGCCACATGATGGGGGATTGGGTAATAATCTGTGACATGTCTAGATGTTCAAACTGGGGAAGAAGGTGAGTTTTAGCTCTACAATGCATTCCAATTCTATTTCTCCATGCCTTATTCTGAAGACATTGACTCTTTGCTGGTGTAGAAGTTACTGTTGTCTTCTGGAATTTTCACATGTAGTGTTGAATCTTAACTGTACCAGCCCAGCCTTCAACTTGGAAATGGTTGGTTTGACACAGTTAAAGCAGAGCTGTCTACAAGCGCCAGTGAATTTGAACAATTAAGACCTGTAATATGTAATGTAAACCAAGAAAGATCTTCATTCCTCATGAAACACATAGCCTCACAAATAAGGGGGAGCAGATTTAGGGCTGAGTTAAGAAGAAACTTCTTCACGCAATCTGTGGAATTCCCTGCCCAGTGAAGCACTTGAGGCTACCTCATTGAATGTTTGTTTTTAAAGCAAAGGCAGATTTTTGAACAGTAAACGAATTAAGGGTTATGGTGAGTAGGTGGGTAAGTGGAGCTGAGTCCATGGAAAGATCATCCATGTTCTTATTGAATAGGGGAGTAGGCTCAAGGAGCCAGATGACCTACTCCCGCTCCTATTTCTTGTGTTCTTATGCTGGACAATGCGCCTTGAGTAACAGTGTAGCCAGATCTGATAAAGGAGACACATAGCATTCTGAGACAACCCACCTTCACTCGTGTCTGTAGACATTTGATACATCCTGGCACATTGACCGGGACTGACTTCTGAAAAGTTAACATTTTGATTGTAAATTTTTTTTTCATTTTGTTTTTCCTCTCTCCTCCAAGGAGGTGATCTGTTGGACTACAGAAGACACTTGTTAGACCTCAGCTGGGAACCACATTACAGGAAAGACGTGACTGCATTGGAGAGAGTGCAGAAGGGATT